TTTTCATAAGTAATTCAATATCCAAAAATTAATTAACTTAGTTCATTCTATAAAATTTTTTCAATTGATTTTTTTCGTTAAACAAACGTTTTTGTTTGACAATAGTATTTCGACATGCAAATAACTATAGAAAAAAATCAAATTCTGTTCGATTTTGGGTAGTAAATTCAAGATTTCTAGCAACTGATCCCTGTAGTTTTTATGTATTAAATATATTTTTCAAAGTTGAATAAAAAATATGAATATTGTAGATGAATTCTGCAAGAAGTTGCGACGATTGAAGAATACGAAAATTTCGAATTACAAACGTAAAATCTATCTTTCCTTTTGATCGGAAAGTTTTATTTTTGAATAAAACATAGTAATATCTGCTAAGCACATTTGAACGTTCAACTTAAATAAATATATATATGATTTCCATTCGTGCAGGCCCATCTTGAAGAAAGTTGCACAGGTTTCTATTGTATTATTTTCGTCAAAACTATACAATCAATAACTGACACACGCAACATCAAAAAGGCTTCATTCTTAAAATTCTCGTTCCATATTCACTTCCTACTTATCTTCTTATTCACGTCTGCTTCTGATTACCATCTTACTAGATGCGTAAGTATGAATAAAGATTTTATTGATCTTATGTTATTTTAAATACGTCTGATGTAAATTCGATATGGAAGTAACAGTCTCATTTGAGTGAAAACTTGGTTAGATGACTCATATCAATAAATCATACGAGATATTTACAACCACATGGATATATATATATATATATTTGTGAGTTATAATTACATATGGTTAAAACCTAATGCATAAATATTCTATATTTATTTTAGGGGTCAACTGTTTTTTTCATGTATTGCCTAGATGATATCAAGCATTTCGACTTTCACTAATATTCGAACTCGATTTAGCGTTTCATACTAGAAGTTTACTAGAGTAGTACGTCAGCCAGAATTACACTCAGATCTAGAGTAAACAATATTCTAACTGAAACTGTCTAGAAACATTTGATATTCACTCATATTTAATATAGTTTTGCATCTTACTCAATATTGTAATCCTTTATCGATGACAAAATCCAATGAAAACATTCGAATATGCCTTTGAATACTCTCTGATACCTTTTGAAGTTTGTCAGATGTCTACATAGGATGACTCTTCTTTCCATGTACTTCTATAGTTGCACGTCACAAGTTCGCTTGCACTCACTATCTCTGGATCTGACTTGATTCTCAAGAGTCTCCGAATTAATATCCATGTGCATTTTTGTTATACTTGCATCGAAGTTCACTAATATCCACTTCCTTGTCCATATATGCACTGACACATCCACAGTCACCCCAGTCTCCACACCTACAACAGCACTTATTATCAAGCACATTCACATCCATATGAATCATTCATAACGAATTGGTCTATAATCGAAAATAATCATGATTATCTACATATATAATGTTCAGTGTGTGTGTGTCTGTGCCAGGTTAAAGGTCAAGTGTTAATGATTACATAAGGCTATAAGGGAAGGTGCCAAGGGCTATTATATGGAGGTACCCATAAGTTCTCAAGGGCCATTTTATGGGGGTACCCATAGGTCCTCATGTTTTATTGTTGTGGATTTTTCAGACCACTTGCAATGCCATTTAAATTTACGGGCTCTGGATGGTGTCCGTTGGACACCCCAGGGTCGTCGTTTGATGACACAATATCTGAACAAATACGTATCACAACTTCCAAAACCAAATTTAATCAATGTTATTCATCCATTAGCACCAACTGATGTTATGAATAATAATGAAAAGGGTGGGTGTGGATGTGGTTGTGAATGAGGAGAGGATCCACATCCACATCCACACTCACACCCACACCCTGTAAAACTACCGAGATAGCCATTTAGATACGGAAAGAACAGACACACAAACATATCACGTGACAAGGAGATAATTGTTCATATTTGAAATTCATTCTCATGTGAGCTCATTTCAATCTTTTACTATTGGACTTCTCATATGATTTTACCGTTGTAGCACATCACTCTTGGAAAATCCTTCTTTTTCTCCTTTTTTTCCGGATTTCCTTTTTTTTTTTTCGATCAAAACCCCTCTCAAAATCCAAGTTGTTTTTACGACTTCTCGCTACGATTCCTGCGCCTATGTAAATAAATATTTTATAAGTTAGAATCTGTGTGCTGAAATAATATCTATGTGATAGAATAAAGCTTAACTTGAGTGTTACTAAATCTTGAATTCATAATTTCGGTGAGTCTCAAGCCTCACCGAGCCTCTACGTTCTGTCAGCTATGATGAAGATAGGTTACTTGATTGGTCATTTACACACACACCCACCATTTCATTGGATCTTGTAAGATGCTGCTGTAGGACTCATATGAACTCGGAAAATATTCGAGTATTCTATATAATCATATAAATAGTGGAATCTATTGAAATAATATTTTACTTTGTAAGAAAATAGATTTATAGGTAATCAGTGAAATATCAACTCTATCTTCATATTGACTACGAACGTTTGACCTTTCTATCACATAAACTCCTTAGCCAATCATTTTTAATCGTTGTCTATATTACAAAATAATATAGGCAGGACATGATATACATATATGCTAGGGTCAAACAAGGCTTTGTCTGTATGACCTATATAAAGAATGTTTTGTCAGATACCTGAAAAATAAAATTACACTAAAAATGTCCATAAGCAAAGGTACAAAACGTATTATTGATGATATTGGTAAGTATCATATATCTCTTATGTTATTTTGAAATAACAAAGCTTTTTTTAATATTGACGAATAATTTTATTTTGCTAGAATTTGATTCATTATCATTAAAACATATTCGTCGTCATGTTACTTGTTTACTTGATTTGCCAAACGAAATTTTATTTTTCATTTGTCGTTATTTATTTCCGATTGATGTTCTTTATTCATTTTATACTCCTGAAAAACCTGAATTACGTCTTCATTATGCTATTTCTGATTATTATACAAAAATCAAACTTGATGGAGTACCTAATAGTGGATATAATTACTTATTAGCTTTATTTAATTATTCCAAAAATCCTCTTCGACCTCATTCATTAATATTAACTAATGAAGGTGTATCTTTTTTAATTCAACGTTATTTGTCTTCAGTATGTACGGGTATAATTCGATCAATATTTAACAATCTTAGAAGTCTTACATTAATCGATTGTTCTTCAGAAGATCTTGATATAATTGAAATATATTACACACATATGATACAGCTTAAGTATCTTCATATTACTGTTCGGAAGACTGATGAACATCTTAGTAAGTCAATTGATAAAATTATGTCATGAATACACTCCGACGATGAAAAATGCTTTGAAGTAAAGGAAATAGATCTATTTATAATTTCTATAGATTCAGAGAGATATTATTTGTAGTTCATTTTACAATTAGAGGTAGGCAGTATCGATTTCGATTTCGAAAAAGTCGAACTTTTACATTCCTGTTGGAAACTAAATTTAATAATAGCAGAAATTCTAATTTTATGTTTAGAATGGCCTGTAACAAAAAGCTATGATGTATCAGTCTATCGATTTTTATTTACCAGACGAATACCTTCTTTACAGACAATTATAGTTAATGAACCTGATGGAATTACATTATTTAAAACATTAATACCTCATGAAAATCTTCGTTATATTGATATTACAGTAGAAACAATCGATGATTTATATGTATTACTTGATGGACTTGTACCTAACGTAGAAAAAATGATTATACAAATAAGTCAATCACGTATACTTTGTAAGTTTTCGTAGAATTATCAATACAAGAAAGTATCGATAAAATATATGAACAATTAGAAAAATTTTCGAATTTTTCCCTGTCTCGGCGGCGGCTGAGAATTTTAAAAAAAATTTCTTCTCTCGGCGGCCGTGGTGACCTAGTTTCATGGCTTACACATCTATTTATTAGAGATGTACGGAGCTTGATCACCTTATGCAATAGTGACTGAGATCAACAATGAATCTAACTAACGCATATTGAGACCAAGAG